TGTGTATGGGCGTGCTGAGGGACGTGAGGACGGGGAGCTGTACTGAGTTTGTGAGCTTGTGAAGCCGGGAAGACGTGGAGCAGATGGTGAGCGAGAGAAAGTTGGGGTGCTAGAGACGGAAGAAGGTAGGGACGCTGATGGACTGCGGTAAGGGGTTTGTGATGATGAAAATGCAGATGATGTAGTTTGAGACTCGGAGTGTGACTGTGGTGCTCGTGGAAGGTGATCGCCTCGAGCCAGGAATCCCGTGTCACTTCCAGCTTCGTAAGTGACACTGCGTCTGACACCGTCGTCAGCCACGAAAGAAAATTTTCCATCAACATTGAGGTTAGCGTCAGCAGACTCAGAACGTGAGTGATCACCAGCGTCGAAGGAAAAAGAATAAGAAGGATCTGAGCTTCCAGTACTTCTTTGGAAAGACACGGGCCCTGCTGGGGTACCTGAAGGTGTGCTGAAGGGACGAGATGGAGCTCCTGAAGCTGTAGATGCTCTGAAGGAGGCAGAGGATGCTGGAGAAGTAGGTCGCAAACTAGAAGAAGGGAACGCTGCAGGAAAAGAGGAGAGTCTGGTCGCTGCTGGAGTGGACGCAGGAACTTCTGGTGCCTGCGGTAGATCGTCACCCTCGACAACAAAACCAGTGCCACGACCGGCTGTGTAAGTGTAGGTTCGTGTGCGACCTTCTTCGTCAGTGTAAGTGTAAGAGCCACGCACATTACCGTCTGAATCACTTTGTTCGCTACGTGTCTGACCTTCTTCAGCGAACTGGAAGCCATATGAGGCATCGGCGTTTGGATCAGCAAGGGGGTCGGTGAATGAAGGGCGAGCACGAGCCTCAGCGTGGGCACGAGCAAAGTCAGGATGCGGGACAGGGAGATGGGCACCCTTGGGCTGGAATCCACCCTCATCAGCTACATACTGGAGGTGAATATTGTTGCCTTCAGGGTCCTGTAGCTGTAAAGTTTCATCTACCTGACCAGTCCCCATGAATGGCACCCCTGAAGGCTCTCCTTTCACCTCGGCAAGTCATAGCCCGTACCAGAAGGCTCCATCAGCGTGTTGAACATAGTACTGGGAACGTCGTCCATGCCCACATGCGAATTTTGTAAGCGACTTTCACGGGCTGAGTGAACTAAGCGTTAACCGCTTAGTGCGGATAACAGCGCTTTCCCAAACGATTATATTAAATTCAAGTATTCTTGTCTATAAAAGCACATATATAAAGCGAGAGACTTAAATGAATATTGCATTTTATATCTGTTCTGATCACGGTGAGCCATATCTATTCCTGGAAGTTTCATTTTGTTTAATCTGTCGGTGAACTTATTGAAATTCTAGAACCTCGATAGGCATTTATCTCGTTAAAGCTTTGTTTTTGAACTTATTTTAATAAGAATCTGCATCAGGATTATATATGAGAAAAGTCTTATCTGCGCCTGTTATTAAAGCAATGAAACGAATAAGAGCAAAAACAATTATTGTTGATGACATTTATCAGCATTCAGATGCAGACACTGATTGACGTACAAATACCAACACTGAATATGTTCTAATTAATTATAAATTCAGAAAACAATATTTGCTCCAATAGACGAAGTAACTGTTATACAGATTAAAATCTTGTAGCTATACAGATTACTGTCAAGCTGAATATTACAAAATGTTCTGCATCTATAAGAACGAAGACAACAAATATATAAAGGCTTAAAGATCAAGAAATAAATTTAAACCAACCAAACCTTCGGACAACCTAATGTCTAATTGGAAATCATCAAGGTCAACGACGAAAACATAGAGATGAAACATCGAGATAAAAACTAAAGAGCCCGTGTATAACTACTAGAGAGAAGTTTTGTGATTTATCAAATAGTTCACAACTTGAAGCCTCGGTAAAGAGGTGTATTAAAGCGTAAATGTAAATAGTAAGGGTATAGAGTCCGAAAAATATTTAGGCATCAGGAAGAGGTAATATAACAGTAAGGAGAACTCGTTAGAAAACTGTGCTTGCTAGTGAAACTAACCACAAACAAATATTATTATGAACATGGAAATATTAAATTATCGTATAGCAGCATTAAAGTACGTGCAACCCCAAACAAAATATTCATAAAAGTTATACTCAAGAGATTAAATAAATGTATTCAGGAAGTTAGAAAATCACGTTGTTTAATGGTGTGACATCTAGCAAAGAGTGAAGATCTCGAGGAATGCACTGGTTGTGGGATTGGCAGGGCATCCAGCCAGGGTGGAGGGGAGGGAGAAAATGAAGGAATACGTTTAGAAGACATTAACTTAAACATAAACGTAAGAAGACGTGGCCGTCAACCTATGTGCTGGATGGAGTTGTCTTACCAACAACAAGAGTGAGACACGAGAATGACGGGGGTCTTTCAGGGTCACATAACCTAGACGAGCGAGTAAGTGTTTATATTTATTTAAATTAAAGGTTTAAGATCTCTTTTATCGCCATCTGCTAGTAATTGCAAGAATCAGCGCAACAGTCAGTCAGGGTTGTGGTGGACATACCAAGCTAGTCCAGGGCGCCATGGTGTGGTGGGCGTGAGGGTGAAGACGGTGTGGTGGCCGGAGGTGGTGTGGTGGATGTGTGTGCTGTTCACCTCTTATATACCAGATTCTCAGGCATGATGGCGGTCGTCCTTGCTCTTCTTGCCCGTTATCTTGTGTCGCGCCACTGACTGATCCGGATTTCACCCCGTCTTTCAGCGCCAGCAATGACCCGTGCTAATCCTTCTCTTGTTGGGAGGCTTTCATGATATTTTATTTTTTCACTTTGCGGAGCTAGGTCAATGAACGCCTTACCTGATATTTAGCAATTGGAGAAAATTTCTCTAGCTACCTCGCCCCACCTACGTTATGTGTTCTTCACTGCAGCCTTTAAGTCACTAACACAGCCTAAAGATTCTTGATTCTAGGTCATCTTTGAATAGTACAATATATGTCTTGAGTGATTATGAATTGGTCATCAGCTGTGTAAAAGCGAAGTGAAGAAATCTTTCAGGGAGTGAGTGAGTGAATCAGTCAATTAATAGTGGGATTTAGAAAGGCATTTCCTGTAGCTGAAAATATATAGGGTTTTTCAAAGTAATTATAATACTTTTGTCGCACACATTTAATGCTTTTAAGGAAACGCTGTTAATTTGCATGTGGTTAACGTGAACATTATTTTACTATTTCATCGTAGAAAATAACATATCCTCTATTTTGTACACTCAAATCTTGATTTTCGCATTCCTAATGAATTAATCAAATCAGCAGAGGATATTTATCGACTAAAACTTCGTATTAATTATCATAAGCTGGTGAAGTCATAATATATTGACTACATTCGCCGAAACAGGAGTTAGAAAAGTCTATCGTCTCCTTCTCTTCCCCCAAAAGTAAAATTTCACAATAGTTTGAAAAAACAAACAAACAAAGTTTGTTGTGTTATCATTTAACATAAATCTTGTGTCTGTAGTCCATGTATCATTAATTCCTGAAGCTTTCTTCCAATATGAACATAAGTAAAGAGATGAAGCATTAGCCGGCTATTGTAGAATAGCGCGTGTCTTATCTCAGGCTTCGCCATCAAGTGAGCGTAGGTAAAAAACTTCAAGATGTGGTATAGGTTTCTTAAAACTTCAGTATTTTACCCAGGCGACTAAGTATCTTCCTAGTTTATCATTTATTCGAATTTATTTGAAATGCCACACAAAATGAGCAATATGCATTGTGTATAGGTATAGTTGCGTGATTAAGACTTCAATGTACTTCACGTTTTTGTTAAATAGTAATAACTTTTCGGTTTTAGTGTTATAATCTAATGGTAAATATGCTTTGTTTCATATAAGAAGCACTGACTATTATAAAATACCAATAATATATATGAATTTGATTATGTTAGGATAGGTTAGGTTAGTATAGTGTAAAGGCCTGGGACTTAGGGATGGAAATCCCTTACCAGACTAATGAGGATCTTAATAAATGAAAGTCAAGGACCATGGTTGTCCGAGGAATAACAAACAACCGTTTGTGATCTCTTTACTATAAAAATATAACACAAGACTCTGACACCACTCAATAAACATCAAGTAACAATTACGGGAGTCAAAGAATTAATGCAGTAAACAGTTAATGGAGTCAAACAATTAAGGGAAGCAAACAATTAAAGGAAGCAAACAATTAATGGGAGTCAGCAATTAAAGGAATCAAACAATAGAATCAAACAATGAACAGATATTTCTTTCGGCAGTGGCCCTGGGGAAGGTTCTGGAACACAGTGATCCGCTCTTGGGGGGGGGGAGGAAGCGTCCGTTCAACTCCTCACTCGAGCGACAGCAGCCGATGTCTTGATACAGCAGACGAAACACCGGGGCACAGACGGTGGAGAGGACCTGGCGGTCGTGGCGGCAGCTGTAGTAGTTGATGTCTAGAGAATTGACAGTTGATAGGTGAAGGTCTGGGAAAACGGCCCACGAGTCCAGGACCTATGATGAGATCACAGCCAGAATTTGACGAGCAGTGGGGTAGCTAGGGCTTCGACAGGGAGTTTGAGGAGGATATTTTAGGTCAGTTGCAGGACCATCAGCACCTGCTCCAGCCGCTCCCACGGACTGACTTCACTAGACTGGTGGACGGAAGCTACCTGACGGAGCGCATAGTTCCTGCAGATGTGTCAGCCGTCATAAAAGTGTTTAAAAACAAATCACCTGGTCAAAGTCACATTAACAAGAAGATCCTGGCCCAACTCCCCGACAACATGATAGAAAGGCTTGCTCATATATGCAACGCCTGCCTCGCCTCTGGATACTTCCCTAAGATGTTCAAAATCGCCGTTATTCGCCTCACACCAAAAGCAGGGAATCCTCCAAGCAAAGTCGAAAACTTTCGACCAATATCGCTGTTAGAGGTACCTGCCAAAATCCTCGAAAAAATAGTCAACAAGTGATTGCGGATGTATCTGGAGGACGAAGACGTGCATAATCCCCGCCAGTTCGGCTTCCGCCAGTACAAAGGCACATCCACCGCCATAGCTCAGGACTACGAGCAGATCGCCACTGCCATGACTGGCCGCCTGCAGTGCAATATAGTACTGAGGAACGTCAGCAAGGCGTTTGACAAAGTTTGGCACGCGGGGCTGCAGTATAAGATCATACAACTGGGGCTACCCGAAAATCTGACGCGCCTGCTGTGCAACTTCATTATGGACCGCAGAGCCAAAATCAAGATTCAAGAACATTTTGGAGAAGAATTCTCACTATCGAGCGGCGTGCCTCAGGGCTCTTGTCTCTCACCAACCCTTTACACACTCTACACGGCTGACCTGCCACCCCCAATCGTCGGCAGCGAGTACTTCATGTATGCCGACGATGTAACACAGATCGTCACCTGCCCAGGAAGGTCCACAGCAAGGATGGCGCGACTCACTGCTCGGGCAATAGAGGAGATCTCGGATTATGAAAATAAATGGAAAATAAAAACAAACAAAACGAAATTTGAGGTCATACCCATAGCCAAATTCAAGCCGACCCCAATGATAATCGACGACGAAGAGATTGAGTACTCTAAACAAGGCAGGTTGCTCGGCTTCATCATTTCTCGGACAGGCATCATTCCCCACATGAAGGACAGACTAAATAAAGCCAAAGGCGCCACAGCCAAATTAAAACGTTTTAAATTGATGCCTGAGAAGATACAAGTTCACCTGTACAAGGCGCTTGTGAGGCCTGTGTTGGAGTACCCATCTATACCACTCGTCACACTCGGGAAGACTAGACTACAACAACTACAGAGTTTCCAAAACAAGTGTTTGAGGTCAGCCAGTGGCCAAGCGCCACCCTACCAGGAGACAATGGAAACTATCCACCTAAGAAATAAAACAGAGGCCCTCAACTTCAGGTTCCATCGCCTAGGGAAGAAGGTTTGGGACAGGGTCCTGGACGACCCTCACAGCCCAGACCACCTACGCGGGGAAGACATCAACGGAG